ACATATTTATTGGTCAACTAATAAAATCCTAACGCCCTATTAATAATATCTTGTTAATATGCTATTTCAAAAATGTTACTTTCAATGGATGTTGTATCACTGAAGGAAATGGAACTTAAAAGAAATTCTATTGTTTTCCAATGTAATGATAAACTTGTGTTTATCAAGGCCTGCAAATTGTCATAATTAATCTTCATGACTGATATGTTGAATGTAAAATAATGAAATATGTACTCAATGGTTCATATAAGTTATATTGTTTAGGGGGTTATATCAAAGATATACATAGCCATGGGATCAAACGGAAGGAAGACATTGAATGCATGATCACAACTTATTTTGAGGATCTGCTTACAAAAGAAATAGCTACAAAAATCTAGGAAGTGACAAAAAAAAAAAAATTGGCCTAGACTGGAGGATTATCATAGCTACAACTCATATCCCCTCTAACGCTTGAGGAAATAATTGACACATTTCTTTCAATAAATGGGCTAAAAGCACCAGGATTAGATGATTATCCCACTTTATTCTTTCAAAAGAACTGGGATGTAGTAGGAGAATAAGTGTGCAAAGTATTGGGTATCGTTTATATTTCGCATTTAGATGAGGATCCTGGTTATGGGCCTCTGTGTAACACCTCGTGTGTACCCAGTGTATTAACAAACAAATGGTATTAAGCGCAGCTCATATAAATGCGGAAGCTAACTTCAATTATGAATTTTTCATATTAACTAAGTAAATTTACTTATTTTTATTCCAAAAAGGGACTGTATGTAATTTGCAATAAAGAGCTACACTGAATAATCTCATTTCATAAATCTAATATCAAGTCAAGGAACTACAACATGTAGACCAGACAATATCCTAATACAACTTATACAACTCAAGTATGCAGTAAACCCAAATTATTCAAAGTATGGACAACCCATATGCTCACTAAATATAACAACCAAGTCTGATAATAACATAAGAATAATAATCAAGTCTCAATGAACATAAACATAAACATAATCAGATAAATGTCCATGCATGCCAACAGGTAATATCTACTCAGGCATCTTGCTCCTAGACGCATCGTCTCATGGATATCTGTACCTGAAAAATGTTCCTCACACGGGATGAGATTTTGACAAATCTCATTAAGAAAATTCCTTCGCCCCAAGCTCATTTACAGGTATAATAAGTTCAACAGAATACTAACATGCATAATGCTGGATATATAACACATGGCATGTGATCAGATCAATAACATTACCTACTGGCCAGAGACAAGTATGATTTATACACATCTGCTACATACTAAAAACATGAGGGATGCAACCACATGCCCTACACCCAGGGATGCAGCCTGCACATGTAGGTAACTATCACATCCGCATATATATATCAACACATTATGCCTCAAATAATTTCAAAGGTCTCAATGTAAGCAGTGCATAAAATCATTTATAAAAACATATCATGCACATAAACTAACCTCTCATGGAGTTTGGTGGAGCAAACAACATATCCGGCAACGACTCGGTGTCCAAAGGATCACAAGTAATAACAGTGTCCAGCAAGGTCACAGACCTATTTTCATGACATTCACATCATCAATATTCATAGTCTAGAATTTCATTACATTAGGACAACGTTTCCTTTTTTGTTTAATGACCGCAGGCTTCTCTCAAAGCCATAAGCATTCAATATCATGGGTTCTGACTTCGTTAAGTTATTACAGAGGTTCTCATTAACCATTTTAGGGTCCTAAATCATCATACACGGTTCTGTTTAGACAAAATAACACGAAACACGAAAATCTCAGAATATCTGTATATTCCTCAGGGACATATCCGGATATCCCTGAGCCAATATCCGATATCCTTCAGCCCATATTCGGATATCATATCCGGATATTTCATAATAGCATGCAGTTTTGCATTTTCGCGAAGGTATCCATCCAAGCTTCAATTTTTAACATCAACAGAGGTTCAAGCTACTCGTTTCAAGCATGTTTAAGCTAGTGATCATCTTGGTTACTTATTTTTCTCATTTAACATGCCAAGACTTAATCTTTTACATAGAAACTCAAGAAGAAAAGTTGAAGCATATACCCAAGCTTTCAAAATAGAGAATAGAAGGTGTCTTGAAGCTCTCTACACCACCCAACAGCTTTGTCACCACAAGTCCACGAATTTGGTTCACAAGTAAGGTTTTTTTTCCACAAAATGACTTCTTGAAGCATCAAATGCTAGAAAAATGGCTCCTACACCACTCACCAAGAGGACAACCCGCCAACCTCACAAAATAGTGGCTAAAATCCTCAAAGATGTCTTTCTCCCTCACAAGGCTTACCCTCAAGTGTTCACAATGTGGAAGAGGAAGAATCAAGAGTAAAAATGGTGTCTTTGGAATTTTTCTTGCATAGAAGGCTATGGAGTTGTGTGGAAGAAGGTGGTAGCCATGAAACCAAGGAATGCACCTACGTAGGATAATAAAATCTGACCTAGGATTTTGTGCACATTTTCTATTTATATAAGTGTACCCACTAATCACCGGTATTAGTCCTAATAGCTCTACTAATTATTATTTTTTCAAACTTTATATTCTTAACCTAGACATTTTTCTAGGAATTTACATATATTATAGTTTTTCTGAACACTTCACCAGTATGCATTTATACCGCGAAGCACAACCGAAATTTGCACTTTTCATCAGAAAAACGACTTAATGTTTATTCGACTTTCTAAATAATTATCTTACCATAATTATGCGTAATCTTTATTAAATCCATACTCCGGCACCGATAATGTTATGTAATTAATTATTTAGCGGTGCAAGTTCTTACACTCTGACTTATTGCTAAGTCATTGTATTTATCTTTTTCTTAATAGTTTGGCTTTGTGCCCACAAATAGTTATTGTTGGAATTTTTTAAATCCTATTTATATTCCCATGTAAACTGAGTGATTTATAACAAGTGGAGATGAGGTGAATATAATACAGAAAAACTGAACGTAGTCTATATTAGATAAAATAGTATAAATCATTGTGTCAATTTTCTGTTCCTTTTCTCTTTTTTGATTTTCTGTTTCTGTTTTTATGTGTAGAGGTGGCAAAGTGGGTGGCTCGTTCTGTCATCAACCCGTCGAAAAACAAGCTAGCCCGCCATGCCTCGATTTTGAAAGTCGGCTAAGAAACTCGGCCTGCCCCGCCCTGTTTGGCGGGCGAGGCGGGTTAGCCTGCCGGCTCAAATCTGTTTTACACTGACCCGTCTCAGTTTGCCAAGCCGAGCCCGTTTTGCCGACCCTATTTGTGTGTGTCGATTTCCAACACTGCTCAAATATATATATGTTGACACTACAACATGATTATCTTCGCTGAAGCAATTATGGAACAAGTAAAAATGGTAATGATTTTCCTAAACAAGTTTGGAGACATGTCAAGTCAGGAGGTTAGTAATACTAAATTAATTGGGGGTGTTTGGTAGGATAGTTTTGTGTGGGTACCTAGGAAAGTTGAGATGGATTTCCTAGTTGACCATGTTTGGTAGAAGGTTTTAAAAAATTTGCCCATTGTTCGGATTTGCATAGCAATCTCAGTTTGTGTGTAAATTTTTTTTTTGCCATTTTAGAATACCACCTATATGGTGGTATTCTCATTACCCTATCAAACCAAAAAGAGGGGAAAAAAGCAATAGACACAAATATCCCTTCTCAAAAAATGTGACAAAAGAAAGCTGGAGAGAGAGTCTTCTTTGTATTTAGTCAAGGGTTAGTTTGGTAATTTTATCCTATTTTTCTATCAATATTTTACCTTCAACTAAACATAGACTTAGGAAATTTAACCCATTTTTTCTGGTAATATTTCGGCCTACCAAATAAATTCTTTTTAACTTTCCTACCAAACTCATTTTTCCACCATATTCCTAGTCATTGTATTTCCCTGGTAAAAAAAAAAAATTCCTCTACCAAACACCCCTTATATACTTCTCTAAGAATGTCCGGGAAGAAGAAGCAATGATGCTTATCATACCATCACGAGATTCGAAGAAGAAGAACCTCGTCGCAAGTGGAAACTCCTATTGAGTTGGAGAGTGCCAAAATAGATCAAAACCTGCTTATGGATGGCCATGCTTAACAAGCTGCCAATGAGAGACTAGTCTAGCAGGAGAGTGCCCATTGTTGAACTTGAAATTTGAACCTGGAAATGCAAGGATTGGGAGATTCATGGACAATGCCTTCTGAGGGATGGAAATGGTTATGATCACTGGTTATCTAACCTAGCATTGAAGCAGTGGCGGACCCAAAAAAATTAATTCATGTCCGCATATTTAGTGGCAGAGGAGTTGAAAAACCAGCCTACCCTGATTTGCCATAAGCAGCCCAGTGATTTTGCAGACAAATACTTAACAACCCCTGACTAAGAATGTTGAAAAAGAAGGAAAAACATATAGGGTGAATAGCAATTCTAGGCAGATAGAAACATAAACTAGTAAAAAATGATGTATAAATTAAATGTTACCAGTGAAGCAAGTATGACAGTGAAGCTATGTCCAATTATTGTTAAGTTGAGCAATTGAAGTGTGCAAACCCAGAAAATACATCATAGCACATGGTAAAAACTATACAATAAATTATCTCTTTCTCTCCCTGGAAAGCATGATGTTTGGGCCTTTTCTCCTGGTAGTTTATTTGAGCATACGAAGAATAAAAATCAAGCCATCTTATCTCTTCAGTTATTACTTGAAAAATAGTATACATAAGAATTACTGACATTTAATCTCAACACAAAAAAGGTATTTAACATATGTATTGACAAAATTAACAGTGACTAACATCCATGAAAAGCTGGTACACTGAGATGGAGGAAAATGCAAGAAAGTCCCAAAGTGGCCAAACCATCTAATTGAATTTTTAAATGCGTTAAAAAACAAAAGAATATAAACAAGAAAAGAAAAGAAAACATCAACTTAACAAAAAAAAATCAAGAGTTAACTAAGCTATTACAATAGAACGATCATAAAAGCATTCTTTGATTCTTCATTGCTTGAAAATATTGCATTATATCTTCATCATCAATCTTATCAAATATATCACATTCAACATAAGTTAGCATGCATGCATTAAACCAATCATCACTTATCCGATTGCGCAACTTATCCTTAACAAAAGTCATTGCAGAAAAAATTCGCTCAACACTAACAGTTGCTACCAGTAGAAGGAGTGCCAACTTTATCAACAAATAGACCAATGGATAAACAATATTCGTTCTCTTCTCAACCATCTTCAAACCAAGTTCAGAAATTCTTTTCAAATTGACAAAATCAAAATCAGCTCTTACATCAACAAAAAAATTACTCATACTTGAAGAGAGAAAAGGAATATCTGCAAGCTCATCAAACTCCAAAGGATAAAATCTAGAAAACTCAATCAAATTTTCTCTGTTAAAAGTAGCAAATGAATCACGGGGATCAAGATAACTCAAACATTCAAGCAACTTGGTATTGACATTATCAAATCGATCACCCAACTTTTGAACCTGAGTATCTATCACTCTATTAAATAACTCCACCTTAAAGTAGTGCAAGAATGTGGATGATTCTAATATCCGTCTTGATCTTCCTTTAGGACAATAAACATATTACATATTTGTAATGTCAATATCATATTTATTGGCAAATATGTTCGTTTCTTGAAGCAATTCATCAAAATCATTATCTCTCACCTCTTGTAAGCGAGACTTGACTACCTTCACTAAACCAATCGCATTTAAAAGGTCTTGATCTTTTTTTTGTAATGCTTGTGACAACTCATAAGAAATCCCCAAGATAAGTTGCATAAGATGCAACAAGAATGCAAACTCAAAATCCTCCATGGCATACAAAATGCGACCTGCATCAGTTCTTGCAGCATCTTTCTTGGGCTCGTCTTCAATAATTTTTATCAAGTAAATTATTGGAGAAAATAATGAGACAACACTTGTAACTGTACCAAAATGGGAACCCAAATGAGTGTCTCCAGGTCGCTTTCAGGTTGTCTCTTGATTCAAACCTTTTTCAGTTAGTATTTCACCGCGAGAAATTATTTCAACTATTTGCCCATATTGATTCATTAGAAGAATTTATTTTTGCTTGCATGAACCCCCACAACGGTAGCCATCTTTTAAAGCATGTCAAAAAATTCTTGAATCTTCTTATAATGTTTTGCAACCTTCACAAGTGCCAATTGTAACTGATGAGCAAAACAATGAATGTAGAATGCAGATTTGTTGTCTGCCAAAACAAACTCTTAAGCCCTTTAAATTCACCCCACATATTACTAGCACCATCATAGCCTTGATTGCAACATTTAGACAAACTTAAACCGAGTTTAAAAAACAGCCCATTGATCGCAACTTTTAGTGATTGTGCAGTAGTATCTGAAACTTGAATTATGCCAATAAAACATTCAACAACGGACCCCTTTTTGTTTACATACTGAAGTACAACTGTCATTTGCTCTTTAAATGCAACATCACGAGCTTCATCAACTAGAAACGAAAAATAATCATCGCTGTTGGGTGGTTTGCTGATGGTGGAAAATATAAGTTCTGATAGGGGACGTTCCTCTGTTCTTGCAGAACACAGATTCGTTCCCTTAGTTCCAACCCAAGTGCGCAAGTGCACGCATCAAGTAATAAAGGGAGTATTAATGCCCAAATTATCGTTCCCACGAGGATAGAGTCCTAATTATTGTCTTACACTGTTTTGTAAAGAATGAAAATGAGAATAAAAGTTAGTAAATGAATTGTCTGGTCAAACGTTCCCTACTGTCTTGACAACGTTTCTCAAGAACAGTAAGTTCAATCTGCTGGCAAACAATTACTCGCTGCGTTATGTATGTGATCCTTCCTGTTTAGGAGAAGGTGAGATAATAATCATTGGAGTTTTATAGATACAAGATTAAATAAAGGAAAGAAAACTTACTAAAACAGTAATAGCTATAGCAAGAGACAAGAGGGTGATGGTTTAAACAGTTTAACAGAAGGAACGGATTCACTGCTACACTTAAAGAGGCTGTTTCCTCTGCTCAAGACTTAGCACTTTTTGGCTTTGCCCCAGTTTCTTGTCTGCCAACTTTGATTCCTCAGCTCATGGACTAGATGGCTCACAAGTTTCCATATTCCTATGGCTCCCTTGACTCCAACAGGTACTTAGTATAGAACCTTAACATGGACGAGTTGGCCCCTTATTCCTAAGGTGACCAGTAGCGTTTTTGCCATGACATCTACCTTCCCCCAATAGCTAAGCTGTCTGAAATTCCTTCCTTATGGAAGTTTCTTTCTCAGTATGTACCCAATTTCCATTGACGCACAATGAATATAGCTTACTTAGCCAAAGAAATACAAAAAGCTTCAGTCAAGAGTTTTGAAAACAGTTCTTTAAGAGTTTCACAGTTTTTCCATTCCACAGATAGTTCAGCTCATGGCTGATAGTTTAAACATAAATATTCTTAACTGAAATCACATAGACCCGAGATTCAGTCAAGAGATAACGATTAGAACGAAGAGAAAAATACTTATATTAATTTAAAAGACAGTTACAAAAAGAAACATAAAATGGAGAAAGATGGTTTAATGCTCGTGAGGAGTCTTAAGGTTTGATACAGAGCAAAGGGGATGGGTGTCACTTGACTACAGTTACAACTTAAATAAAATTAAGTTACTGACTACTACTACTACTAGGTGATCTTCTTCCTTCTGGACTTTAATCCCTCCAGAATTCGATGATGTTTTTGTATGAGGGTGGTCCTATTTATAGTTGGAAGGAGAGTGGCAAGCTTATAAATCCTTTGGAGAAAGTTGCTTGAATGAGGGGACGGGACGGTGGCAGCAGAGTATGGAAGCCTGCGTGAATTGCTGAATGGAACATGATTTGCTTCTGTTTTCAGCCAATGAGAACTCTTGATTCCCTGCTCTTCACGTTTCCAGCTGCTCAGTTGGTGCACCGCCTTGCTTTTTAGAAGTCTTTAACTCTACGTTACCCGCAAAGTGTACAGAAGCATTAAATGAATGGAGCAGGTGCATTAAATGCGTCTCAGTCCGTTCCCCTTTTAATATATTTTAAAGGAATACGTTACCATCCGTTCCCCCACTGTGTTTTTGTCACAAATGTGTAAAATAAGTGATTTTCATGCTGAAGTTGCTCATCCGATGAGGGAACGTATGGTATTTTGCCATCAAAATGGGCTTATATGGGAACGAATTTACGTCCCATCAATCGCCGAGATCACTAATTATTACGTATGGTGAAGTCAATTTATGATTATCGGGGGAATTTCACAAGACCAGATGACTCATCTCTTTATTTGGCTTAGTATAAAACTTTAGATTTTCAAGAAATAAACCTTGTTGATTTGAACTTTCATATTCATCATGTCCCCGAAAGGCTGACCATTTCGTAAATAAACCTTGTTGATTTGAACTTTCAGATTCATCATGTCCCAAAAAAGGATGGCCATTTTGTAGTTGGTATCTAGCACAATCTAAAGAAGTTTTCACCCGAATACAATGATCAATTCTTTGTTGCTCAGAAATATTTGATAAAGAAATATCAATATTTTGTTTTTGCTTCATCAAATCTTGACCAGCTTGATAACATCTATTGTGAACACTCTTATGATCTCCAACATGAACATTGATTTTATCCTTCTTCTGCCAAGTTTTGAACCCCACACTACCAAATGCTTCATGCATTGAACCACTACCTCCAACCTCCATATCAAATAAATAACAATACAAGCAATAACATGCATATTGTGATACACTATACTCCAACCAAGTACAAATTTTTTCATACCACTTAGGATTGAATCTACGTATTTTTCCTTATATTTCCATTTGAGGGAATGGTTTAAGAATCGGTTGAGTTGGCCCTTTGAGCAAAGAAGCTCTCTGAATATCCTCTCTCTCTATAGGATTTGTGTCATTGAATAAATCGAAGGTCTTTTTCCCGGATCTGCTTCAAGATTTTCTATATTAACTTTTGCTTGAGGTGGTGATTGAAAACTTTGAAATTGAGATGTTTGTGGTGATACATTTTGTCTTTGATCTTGAGGAGAAATTTTCCATAATTGAAACATTTTGTCTCTAAGGTTGATAGGATTCTTGGACGATTGGAACTGAAATACTATTTGAAACTTGTTCACTTTGAGATATGGGTTCTGTATTTGTGGGTTTTAGACGTTTGAAATAAGATTGTATCCCTGACAAATCATAATTTATACTTAAATTTAATATACTCATTATGTTAATGAAACAATTACAACCTAAAAATCCAAAAGTAAATATCGATTATACCGTTTATTGCTATTAAAATAGTTATAACAAATAAATAAATATAGAAAGTTACCTTTCATTGAGACTTGTCGAATTACTACGAACCCACAATTGTTTGTGCTCTCAAGGTTTCAACATTACGATCCAGTTTTTGCTTCCACTTCAAAAGTAAAGCTTTGAAGAATCAACCAAAGTTATCCTATATTACAATTAAAAATAAATCAATTAGAGAATCAACAAAGAGATAATCCTTGACACTGTATATTTTGCGCAATAAAGATGTAAATCACACTCACACCTCTTTATGTCTATCTCCTTCTTAAAAATATATAAGTTTGTATCCTTTAAAAGGATACACATATCTCTCTCTCTCTCTCTCTCTCTATATATATATATATATATATATATATATATATATATATATATATATATATATAATGATATTTGCACACTTTGAGATCTACAATTCCCAAAGGTGAGGCTTATTTCAGAGGTTCTTCAAGTAATACTTCAGAGGCTTATACAGAATGAACACAAAAGAACGTACGTTCGCTATTTTCATTTTTTTAAAGGAAAAGATCATTATCATATATGTGTAACAAAATGATGATGTGGTAACTGACAATATTTCTTCATTAGGCTCAGAAGCTTTTGCAAGAAGAAAGAAAAGGCGTATTATTTTATCTAATACAAAATTTCTTTGTATATTAGACTGAACTTATCAAATCTCTGTCCAAAAGGCAGATGAAGATTAAACTGTAACTCCTTACAAAGGGAATATGAACTAAGAAGTCTTTCTCTGATAAAGAAATATTGTCTGTGCAATTCAAAAAAATAAAATATTAACTCGATGTTCAAATTTTAGGAATTTATTAATATAATTACTCATTGGAAAAAATTACAAGCAAACAAGAACATGTCATTTTCCAATTCTCTTGCTATCAAAAGAAGAGTAGTTTCTTTATTTTATCAAAAAAGAATAGTTACTTCGAATAGTACTTACAATTTGGTTATAACGAGGATGACTTCATCATAGACACGTCATGTAATTTCTCCAGCAATTTCAGATTGCCAACAATTTCTCCAGATGATTACAGAGCAATTTGAAAAAGATTTATGCAACATAATATATTAGTTTATTGTTTTTATCAGCACCAACTATTTTCTTATTTCACTCATCTTCTTATAAAATAATAGGTTTTCCTACATTGAATGGTTATTACTAAACAACATATGTGCTTGTTCTTGTTGTCTATCTCAAATTATCACACAATATAAGCAAACTTTTATAAGACTTGGACTGCAATTCATAGTATAATCTTCCATATGACAAGATAAATAACCTTTTAGTCCCTTCATATGCACAAGCGACAAGTATTAGTCTGAATGAAAATTAGATAATTGGATTATCAATCTACCAATTTAGTAATTCTTTATGCAAAATGAAAATTTGAATTTAAATAAAAAATATACATATGTATGGACATGCCAAGCAAAACAATAATCTATGTGTGTGTATTTGAAAGTTTACATGTATGCAAATTCAAGCATATACCTCTGACATTCTAGGCACAAGGTGGTAAAGCAAGCAGGGCAGCTAAGCACAACATCAGAGTCACTTCCATGTCTTTTTTTGTGAATCCACAGTTCATCTTTATCATCAAGATCTAGATCATAAAACTCTGATTTGGTTGTGTAGTCTATCTCGTCATCATCAGAAACTGATATTTAAATAAAATAAACATAAATTAGATGGTTGGCTTAAAGCAGCGTTCCATATGCTGTTGGAGACTTAACGACAGCTAAAAAAGGATAGCTTTCTAGTTATAATCTACTAGTTAAATGATTATATGTAACACATTTTTCATTCAGTCCACAGTAACTTTCACATTCAAATTTCTAGCTTTTTAATCATCAAATTCAAATCCCACCATCATTCATATTACAATGAACGACAAACATGAAAAAATAAAGGTTAAAAAATTAAGGAAAAGAGAAATATAGGGGGTGTTGTTACATTTGGTGCCAGGTAAAAAAAGATGGAAAACTGAATATGTACAACAAAAAAGCTAGAAAATTGAATATGAAATTAACCTGTTTAACAAGGAAAGGAATGTGGTCGTGATTAGA